GGTTTTGACTGAGGTTTATTGGGTTTTACAAAGCCTTATATACCCAATTCGTGGGTGTATGATGCAATCATGGAACAATCCGAACAGTGTGGAATGATATAGAATGATTGAGAATATTCCGAATATTGATGCAATGAGGGATATGATGGAACAATCAGAACAGTGTGGAATGATATAGAATGAGTGAGAATATTCTACAATGCAGAGCTCTTGAAAGGCTGGGGTATCATGGCTCTGATGACCTGACAATAATACCACAGGCTAGAACCACAACGGAGGAAGGATGACGTCATAACGGTCAAACGATAGCGTGATGTAATGACGGCTACGAGGGTTCGGCGACTGTTGACTCGTTGGACTCCCTACATAGCCCCCTCCCAGTCGTCGAATCCGTGGTTGGATAGAATGGCTTCAGTCTGTCAACACTAACTTTGTCCGGTTTTCCATTGACTATTAGTTCATACACTTTGTCACTGCGCTGTAGCACTGGGAATGGTCCTGTATACTTTGGTCGTAAGCTCGGCACGGTTCTGTCCTGTCTTATGAGCACTTGCTCGCAGCGGTCTAAGTCCTTTGGAATGTAACTCGTTGGTTTTGTTGCCGTGTGCCACTCAGGGGAAGGAGCGCTTTGGGCCGAAATGGAGTTCCTCAGTTGAGCTGCCCAAGTCTCGTGGCTGATGCTGGCCGGCTTGGCCTGGAGGTTGCCTGGGAGGCGTAGTGGTTCGCCAAAAACCAACTCGGCCGGGCTTATCCCAGAATCGGTGTTCGGGCTGTTCCGTAGCCCTAGGAGAACCCACGGCAGTTCTGCCAGCCAATCACTGCGTCCGTCTAGTCTTGCCCTGATGGAGTTTTTGAGACTACGATGTGAACGTTCGACCTTACCGTTGTGTTGTGGATGGTATGACGTGGTAAGGCGGTGCTTGATGCCTAAGGCTTTCGTCGTTTCCTCCCACAATTTGCTCGTAAACTGAGGACCTCTGTCTGTTGTCAAGTAAGATGGAACTCCAAATGAAGCACACCAGTTCGCGAGGTGCTTTGCGCAGGCTGATGCCGAGGCCCCCGTGCCATGTACCGACATGGGAAAAGCTGACAAGTAACCGGTCCACCGATCGATAATCGTCAGGAGAGAGTTTTTACCCTGGCAAGGGGGGTTAATGGGTCCGACAATGTCCAAGTTGATGTCGGAAAAACGTTTTGTCGGAAGTGGAAGCGAAGAAATCGGCGCTTTGGTGTGACGGCCGACTTTCCCACGCTGACAACCTGCACATGATTTACACCATGTCTTTACATCCCGACGAACGTCCGGCCAGTAATAG